TGTGGTGTACAGAGGCCAAATGCCAAAACAGTTATCCTTGTTCCAATATTCCTGGCCCTGACTGTATATCGTTTGTCAGAAAACCTCATGAGCGTGTCCATTAAATCAGCCTTGACTGAAAGGAGGGTTTTTTTAATTTTCTTATATCATTGGTTTTTAACTGTAATTTTATTTGTTGAGCTTTATTTTTCCTAAGTACATGCACCTCTTAAGAAATGTTTTAGACATTATCATGCAGTTTTAAAATATATTTAATGGTAAGTGTTCTATACAAACAAGAACAACTGAAGATAGGGAGCTTTGCCATAATCCAGTGTTTCTCAACCTTGGCAGCTTTAAGATGTGTGGACTTCAACTCCCAGAATTCCCCAGCCAGCTGGCTAAATTTGAGAAACGCCGCCGTAGTCAAATAAAAGTCCTTTTCATGCATTTTTGCATCTTGTTTTGCTTGACAGATCCCGGAAGAGCATCCCAGACACTTACGCAGAAGACCTTGTAGCCAAGGGCCTTACAACTGGGGAGGAGGTATCTGAGATAAAAGCTTCCTATTACTCTAAGCTGAATGAGCATCTCGCCAGCATGGCTTTGTATGCGCCTCCGTGCCCCAATCTTCAGGCTCACTGGACTGGCATGGTGGAGCCCACACCAAGGATCACAAGGTGGGATACAAGCGTTCCAGTACCACTCCTTCAGTTTGTCGGGGTCAAGTCGGTGGAGGTGCCTGAAGAATTACATCTGCACAGCCACATCCTGAAGACCCACGCTCAGGTCTGAGATCCTCAAATACAACTCTAGAAATGCAGAAGATTATGTAGGGCCATCCATGGGGAGGGGTCAAAAAAGTCAAGATGACAGCTGCAACCGCTTTCTTGACCTCTTTGATACACAGACATATGTGGATCCCCTTGATGTTGTGACAACCGAAAATACATCCTTGTGAGCTGGTTCAAATTTGGCCTCTCTTGTGAATCCAACCCACGATTGTAGGGAAGCTGAAATTAATTGCCTTTTTTCCTAAACCAAACTTCAAAATTGATATGGGTTTTGTTTGTGATAGCCTTCAGGATTGGGCAGCATACAAATAAAGCAAATGAAATGAAATCATTAAACATTTCCTTTTAAGAAGAGATGAGTGGTGTTTATGATGGAAGATGATGTGCTCAGTTTAAGCATGGAGAGCTGAAATAGAATAGACAGATGGGGTATAAATCAAATCAACCAATAGATAAACACTAGCTAAAGATTTTTGTAAATGATGTTTTATTTGCTTAGGACATATAAAGCTAATAAAATGGCAATAACATAAATTATAATGTAAGATTGATTCATCTGTTCAAGTATTGGATTCAAAGGCAAAAACATGTTTTGTAAAACTTGCTATTAAGTCAAGTTTAGGAAAATATGTGTTTGGTTTCAGGAGTTGCCAGTGTGTGCACTAAAAAACATTTTTGCCTTTGAACTTGGAGTATTGTATAGTCCTAAAGTTTATGGTTTTGCAGATATTTTATTAGGCATCATATTTATGATGAAAAATATCATTAAAAAATAAAATTAGTTTTTATTTTAGAAAATTAGTCTTCTAAACTAACAATATAAATCGCAATCACGTGACCGCAGGGCATGGTGCAATAGTTTGCAACAGTCATATGTGTGAGTAAAGGTCATAAAGCATTTTTCCCCAAGGCCATCATAACTCTGAACCTCCATTGGGCAAATGGTCATTAAGTGAGGACTACCTGTATTGTTAGTTTAGAAAACTTATTTTCTGAACATCCCTAAGGGGGCTATTCAGGGGTCAAAGGAAAATGTGTAGACATAATGCTGAAATATTGCAAGGCACCACAGAAGCATTATGTTTTACTGTGGTGCCTTGCAATATTTCAGCATCCCATTTTTATTAAAAGAATGTAGAAAAAATCAGTCATGCACAGCAAAGAGCACCAAGGCTACCAGATTGCTACCTGATCCTAAATCGCTTTTTAATCCCCCTTCCTTCAAGACAGTCTTTCCCTTCCTTACCTTATTCCTACAATAGGCTGAGAAGGAGTGAGTGCCCAAAAGTCTTTGAATGAAATTCACAGTAATGTGATTTTACCTTGGAAGTGTTCAGACATAGCTACTGCACTATACTAGTTATCATAGGTGTCCATAGAAGCCATGATGGCATCACATACATCATGACATCATTGTGCAAATGACACAAATTACATAATTTGTGTCATTTGCACAATGAGGTTATGGTGTATATGATGTCACTTGTTCCTTCTTCCCCCCACCCTGTGGACATACATGCTATTGTTTATGACCAAGATCCAAAAACCAAGCAGAAACCACATAGATCTTTCAGAAGTTGAAGTAACAAAATAATGATTTTTGTTTGGTTCTGTTCTGTTCTGTTCTGTTCTGTTCTGTTCTGTTCTGCAGTCAAGAGTGCTGAAGATGGAAGAAGGGGTAAAGTTAGACTGGGCCACTGCTGAAGCATTAGCTTTTGGTTCTCTACTGTGTCAAGGTAAGTATAAGAGTTGCATCTGCTATTAAGCCAGGAAAATAAATATAAACAAAAAAATATATGAAAAAGAGAAGTCAGGTTGGCAAAGTAGTTCATGATTACATTGTTGAATTAATGGGAGGGGGCAGGTGACATCTTCATGCCATTTGCGAAGTATTTAGACACATTTCTAATCCTTTGGAAAGTACCTTTCTAGTTCTGGTGTCCTGCCAAATTCAGCTGGTAGAACGGGCACCAGTTTTAGGCATTTTACCAGAACCAGGGACTCAAGTTTCAAAAAATTTGGGTTCAGTTCTGATCCAGTTTTGCCAGTATTCTTTCAACTTTTTGGTAGCTGGCCAACAGTTTAACCCAGCTACATATATTTAATATGAATTATTAAAAAGCACGTTCCTTATGAGGAACGGTTGGAAGCAGTGGGTATGTTTAGTCTAGAGGGAAGACAATAGGGACACATGATGGCAGTGTTCAGCTATGCAAACTATGCAGAAGACAGGGCGGAATTGTTCTGAGTTGCGCCAGAAGAAAGAACAAGAAACAATGGGTTTAAATCTCAAGGAAGTAGGTTTTGGTTGGACATCAGGAGAAATTTCCTAACAATTAGAGCTGTTCAGCAGTGGATCAGATTGCCTCAGGCTGTGGTAGATTCTTCTTCACTGGAGGTGTTTGAAGAGCAGCTGGATGGCCATCTGTGGGAGATGCTCTTCAAATGGATTCCTGCCCTGGGCATGGGTCAGATTAGAGGCTCTTCAAGGTTCCCTCCAAATCTTCCATTCTGTCATTCTGTGCAGCCTGTCAGATTGAGCATGTACATAGCCCACCAGATGCTCAAAATGTTGCTTGCGTGAGCCAATCTGTCTAGGATAAAATTACCTTTAAAATTACCTGATCCTTTGGGATTGGACAATAGAAGCAAGCAAGAATGTATGGAGTAGGCAGACAGATGGGAAATTCTTCATACAGGTGATCCTCGCTTAATGACCACTCCTTCAGCGACCATTCAAACTTGCCAAGGTGCTGAATGAGTGGAACTTATGACTGGTTCTCATACTTACATTGCTTGCAGAGTCCTCATAGTCACGTAATTGCCATTTGCACCCAGCTCTCGGTTATAACGTTGCAGTGTCCCATGGTCATGTGATCACCATTTGCGACCTTCTTGCAAAGTCAATGGGGAAGCTGGCAGGAGGTCACAAATGGTGACCATGTGACGTCCTCACTTAACAGCCAGCAGCAATTTGCTTAACAACAGCAACTGGAAGTCCCGCCATTTAAATGGTATAGTCACATGACATTGCCTTTTATGACTGCGTTGCTTAGCAATGGAAATTCCAGTCCCAATTATTGTTGTTAAGTGAGGACTACCTGTATTGTGTTAGTAGCTGAAAATCCCTAACCTTGAAAAGAGTTATATATCATTTTATGGACACTGTACTTTCTCCAAGGAGACCTGAATAGCAAGATTTTGATTCATTTTACTTTATTGTCAAAATAGCCCTGGGCAGGAGGCTAGATTGGGATGATTATGATTTGTCTAAAGACTAACATTGGCTCCCAGCCATTTGATACGGAGTGAACATGTGAGCTTGGCTCCAGAAACTATTTTATAAAACTTAAAATTAATCCTTGCTTAACAATGGTAATTAGAATCAGAATTTCCATCATTAAGCGATGCGGTCGTAAAGTGCAATGTCATGTGACAGCAACACTTAGCAACAGCAGTCCCCGGTCACCATCGTTAAGTGAGGAACGCATGGGTCATTAAGTGAGGACCTCACGTGATCATGACTTCTGACCTCCTGCCAGCTTTCCCCCTTGTGGGAAGTAGGCAGGAAAAGTCGCAAATTGTGATCACATGACTGTAGGACACTGTGACGGTCAGAAATCTGGGCTGGTTGCCAAGTACCCGGATCGCAATCACATGACTGCAGGGGTGCTGCGATGGCCGGAACTTCGAGGACTGGTCGTAACTACCACTTGTTAATGCGATTGCAAGTTTGAATGGGGGTTGAACGAGTAGTTGTTGAACAAGGACCACCTATATTAATTTGGCATTAAAAATGACTCCCCTCCCCAATAAATAGGAGAATGCATGCAAAAAGAGATATTTAGAACCACCCGATGGTAGAAGAAATAAACAAGAAACTTATTTAACAAGAAGGAGAAGAAAAAATAGACCTTGAGATCTGCAAAGAAGTCAGCCTTGATTTGAGGAAAGTCCTTAGGAAGAGAAGTCTTCCTGATTCTGAATCTTTCAAATTGTTATCAAGTTATACCATAGATTTGCTTTATACCAAGGTTTTAACATTCGTCTGAGTGGGCAAGATGTCGGCCGAGGAACGTTCAGTCAGCGGCATGCCATGCTGGTTTGTCAAGAGACAGGTGAAACGTACATCCCTTTGAATCACATGTCACCAGATCAGAAGGGCTTCCTTGAGGTGAGTAGGAAGGTTGAACCAAGATGACTTCACAACCTTGTGCCTTACTGATACTTCACACAGAGACCTTTCTGGGAGTAAAACTCCCTGAACCTAGTAGGATCTATTTCCAAGTAGTCACGTGCTAGCTTGCACTGTGAGAGCATGTCTGAATATTGTATTGTAATCTGCTTTTCATACTCCTCACAGAACTTGCATTCCACAAAGTTTCAGATCATACACACACACGCACACACAAATACTCAATCCTCATTATCCGTGGGGGTTACATTCTTTAAAACCTGCACAGAAATGGAAAGCAGTTATTGAAGCATGGATCCTAGTGAGAACACGTGAACTGTTATCAGAACAATGCGGAGACTTGTTAACACAACAAACATTGCAAGAAGAATGCGGTTTCCCTTGGTGTAGCTTGTGTTGACCCAGCATGGTAAGGCTCCCAGACTTTTTTTTCCTACTGTGTATGGCTGCATATAGCCGCATTAAGACCGTGTTTGACAAAAAATGGGTTACACTTTTATAGAAGTGTATAAGCGAATCCGTGGAAAGAGAATGCACAGATAATGAATATTGAGTATGTGTGTGTGTGTGTGCACGTGCATACACATACACTCCGCAATTTTAAATCGATGAATGTGTCAGGTTCTAGATTGGGACACCAATTTGTATTTGTTAAAAATTGAGAATGACATATCATACATATAAGTTTTAAGTCTCATATGGACCTTGCAGATAAAGGTATATCTGATTAGATTCTCAAACTGTTTCTGTGGTATCCCTTCCTTCCTTCCTTCCTTCCTTCCTTCCTTCCTTCCGTCCGTCCGTCCATCCATCCATCCATCCATCCATCCATCCATCCATCCATCCATCCATTAGCTTCTACAGTTATTTTGTTTTAAAAGTGTGTGTGTGCAAACAGGCATACTTTCTGAAAATACGCCATTTTCCATTCTGCTGTCTTACATTCTCTATTAGGTGAGCAACAGTCCCCTATCAGAAGAAGCAGTGCTTGGCTTTGAATATGGAATGAGTATTGACAGCCCAAATTTGTTGCCCATTTGGGAGGCACAGTTTGGGGATTTCTTCAATGGAGCTCAGATAATATTTGATACATTTATCTCTGGAGGTGAGACTCGGATGTCTATGTTGGATAGAAAATACAACTCTTGAAGCTGACTCTAATATGATCCTTCTCATATCCCATAACTTCAGGCTCAGTTATTTTTATTTTACCATTTTATTTAATTCTGTTCAAATGATGTTTATATTTTTAGTCCTTGCGGGCTTCCTTAGCATTTTAAAGGTGGGGTTTAAATCCTAGATATATTGAACAGAATTGCTTGGTCCTCATTTCTAAGGAGTAAGCTTCTGTGATAAAGTTAGACTTACTCCAAGCAGACATGCCTAGGAATAAGAAATAGTAGAGATACCTAGAGATATTTTAAAGAGGTGCTATATTAATGTTCCTGTATGCTCCAAAGCACATCTTTTGAATCATTTTCAAAACAGACACAGCCCTAATGCGTAGTTTATCAACCATTCATAATTCACCACTGACTGTGAACTGTTCCAGTGGGAAAATATTTAAATGGAAGCAGAGGACGATAAGAAAACTCTGTTCTGGGTCAACCTTTGGCAGTTTTACTCACAGGAAGCTCAGTAGATATTGCAGCTAAACGACAGATGTGCAAATTCTTCAGCAGGAGAGATACATTTCAGCAAGTGTGTGCAGAGAGTAAAGAGTTCCATTTGTGTAGGTATTGTGTGTAATTAAAGGACGTTCAGCTTTGAAAATTATTATTGCTGTGTTCTGGAGGTATTTCTGAAGAATAGTGCCTAATTTTTGAATAAATTGAGCAAACCGCCCAGAGTTGTTGGGAGTCTAAATCTAAATAAATAAATCAACTATTGGGAAGAGAAAAGTTTCATTGAATGAATATAAAAATGTCTTAACCTATCTCAGAAATGGGTTTCTGCGGAAGAACAGCTCTTAGGCTATTTAGTTGTTGCCTAAAGCTAGAAGTTATCCTCTTCCAGGCACGATTCTCACAGGTTTCGTGAGATGTATGGGACGGAGTTCCAAGAATTCCAGCAATTGAACTATTTCCCATTTAGAGTCAACCTTTCCTCATGTATGTTAGGACAGAGACTTTCTGATTTTTTTTCTCATGTTCCAGCAAGGCGCAGGTCTTTTCGCTGATAATGGAGAAGCTGGCAGCAGGCTACTTACTTAGTAGTCATCTGAATTGTTATTAGCCTGGGAATCTTCTTTTTCAACAGCAGACAGCTATCTCATTGCCTTGATTAGCGAGATTTCGTTTGGGCTGATAGCGAATGACAGAAATATCACTATGTTATTCTGCAGACTATGATAATGTATCATTATTGATATTTCATATATTCTTCTTTGCAGGGGAAGCCAAATGGCTACTGCAGAGTGGGCTAGTAGTTCTCCTTCCACATGGCTATGATGGTGCAGGACCAGAACACTCTTCTTGCCGAATTGAACGATTCTTACAGGTAGCCAGGTGCAGTGAAGTCCAAGACAGCTTCCCCAAGCCAGACATCTTCCAGACGTGTTAAATTACAGCTTCCTTGGTTCCCCAGTCACCGTAGCCATGGTGGCTTTGAAATGATGGGAACTGCAATCCATTAGCTGTGCTTCTGTCCTACAAGCAGGGATTGTGAAATCACGTTCTGAGAGCATATCCTACTACGCACTGTAGCACAGGCTTCTCCAATCTGGGGCTTCACAGTTGCAGTGCCCATCATCCTGCAGCCAACATGGCCATTAGCCTGGTGGATGGAGATAGTTGCTTAGCCCAGGTGGAACAACCAATAGACAAAAACGTGCTGGAGAAGTTGCATAAATGCACCATCCAAATAGTTCGTGGTGGAAAGAGTCATTGTTGTCTGGTAAAGCAAAGTCTGGAAAATTGAAATCTGTTCCAAGTATGACCTTGGCAAAAAGGTCTCCAGTAGATTCCACTGAATGAGAAACTAGTGCTCTGTACAGTATTTTTCAAACTTGGCAACTTTAAGATGTGTGAATTTAACTCCCAGAATTCCCCAGCCAGTTGAAGTCCACACATCTTAAAGTTGCCAAGTTTGAAGAACACTGCTCTAATGTATACCATTACCTTTATTCCTTATATGATTTTGCCTCTGGGCAAAGAGGATGATCAGAACAGTGTATACAGACCACCAAAGCTCTCAGAGAGAAAGATAAACAGATGTTACATTATGTGATGCCTCTGTGTACAAGATTTTACATGACTGTATATACCCTCTGGGTACCTTCTATATATCTCTTCCTGCAACACTGCTGAATGCCAGGACCTGAATGTGCTGTAAATAGTCATTTAAAGTGCAGTCCATGAGTTCAAATCCTGGTAGAGGGTTTGAACGCCATGTAATAAGATCTGGTTATGTGCATCTGATGATTGCTAATCAGGATGAAATCAGCCACTTACTGCCTCCTGTGTAACTGGCAAAGACAGTAAAAGTGCATTTTGATAGCTCTAGATCCATCCCCAGGCTTATGAGGCCCCACAATTTGACTAATATGTTAGAGGTTATGATACTGTATTGCCAAAAAAATAATGCTTAATTCCCTTGAATTTACAGAAATTGGTTTATCTGTAAATACAGATAAAAATCTAAGAGTTTCATCCAAAGTTTATGATATTTTTCTTTAGATTTATGTCTCATCCTTTTAAAAAACAAAAAACAAAACACCTTAAATATCTCCCATGCCTGCTTTGTGAAAAATACCTTTATATTCTGAACCCCATGAAGGATGTGTTTGAAGAATTGGTCAGCTGGTTAGGATTATTATTTGTTTTGAATGTTGTATTTTTTTTCACAGATGTGTGATAGCTCAGAAGAGGGGATTGATGGCGACCACATAAATATGTCTGTTGTCCATCCAACCACCCCAGCACAATACTTCCACTTACTTCGGAGGCAGATGGTTCGAAACTTCCGGAAACCACTCATTGTGGTTTCTCCCAAAACTCTCCTTCGGTTACCTGTGCGTATAAAGACTTCCTGGTTTGGTTGACACCATTCATCTTTCATTTCTTTTATGCTAAAGAGGTTGTCTTTGCACGACAGTATGGTGTTTTTTATTTGTTCCTCTAATCCAGTGTTTCTCAACCATGGCAACTTTAAGATGTGTGGACTTCAACTCCCAGAATTCCCCA